TTCGGCTGTAATTGGAGTAGTATTCACCATACTCTTTGTATTGTACACTACCTCACTTGTTCTCAGAAAATCTGATACAGGTGTTTGAGGTTTCTTCAGACTTGCATCTTTTTCATTCATTCTTAGACCTATAGGTCAGTCTCGAATTACCTCTCCTTTTACTTTTTTATCATTTATAATTAGGGAGGTATTGAAAATTGAACGTTTTATCTTTGGCTCAAATACTTCATTTTCTTCTTCCCCTGCAGCATGTACTTCATTTGTTTTGATACTACCAACTCCATTTTGGGATTTGATTCCCGATTGTTTGATCAAAACAGACTGATCCTCCACTTCTATGATTCCCTGAACCAAAAGGTCTTGAACTCGTCGTTTGAAGCGACCACAATTCTCAATGGAGTGTCCTCGGGTTCCATCATGATAGTCACAAAAGACTTTCTCATTATACCAACTTGGATATGGAAGCAACAAAGGCTTAGCTCGACATGGAGCAATAATCTGGGCCTGAAGCAACTTGTAATATATCTTGATGCATGAAACTGAAGGAAACTTGGGTAAAATTTCTCCAGACATCACTGTCTCATTACAACTGTTTACTTTGCTTTCTTTAGCTTTCTTCAATGGCACTGAAACTTCTTCCATGCTTCTCTTCAACTTGATCTTTGTCGTATTTTCTAGGGTTATACCCGACTTTTTGTGGCTTATTGGATTTCCACATTCCATGACAAAATTCTGGTCATTTGTTTTCATTGTATCAGCTACATACTTCATAATTCCATTCAAATCTTTTACAACAGGATCCTCCGAGGGTTTCTCTCCATGGATCACAACATTCATCAGGTTCATCAGCTTGGTCATTTGCTCTTTTGAATCATCCTGAAACTTTTTTGCATGATCAGTCATCTCTTGTTGAGTCTTGATAAGTTGCTCTTGCAATTTCTCAATTCTACCAACCCTTGTTAAAATCTCATTCATAGCTATTATCCTTCTTTAGGAAGACCAAGTTAGCTCCACTTTGATTTCAAAAATTCTGTCATGGAATTCTCCACGAATTATTCCACGTTGTCATGATTAAATGCATGGAAAATAGTTTAAAATAAAATGTAATTATGTAAAAATGAAAATGTAAATACAAATGTAAAAAATGCAAATGTAAATGCAAATGTAAATATGTGAATGTAACAATAAAAATGCAAATTGTGCAATACAAAAGCAAACATAAAAGTATAAATGCAAAAATGAAAAATGCAAAGATGCAAAATGCAAATGTATGTATGAAAAGGTGTTTTCTCAAGAGTGATCATCTTAGAACAGATTTCATTGAACACAAAAGTTTCGGTACATCAAACAAAACTTTTACATGTATGGGACATCTTTCAGTCCTAACTTCTCTAAAGTCGAGTTAATTTCCATTCATGCTCAATAGTTGAATTATCATTCTGCTTCAATTCCTCGTAAAATCAGGTTGGTCTATCAGCTTATGGGTCATATTGCTTGTCTGGACTGCAGCTTCTTCCATGACATTCTCTGTCATCTTCTGTGTCACTTCTCGGAGTTGCTCATTTTCCCTTGTAAGAGAACCTTTCTGTCCAAGAAGTTCTTGAATAAGATCTTCATATATGTTGCAGTTCTTTTTCAGCTTGGTGACCCCTGTGATCCACTCTTCTGGGGTGTTTCCTATGCCAGTATTTCGAAAGGCTTGACTGATCTTCTGAAAATGTTCATGCATGGTTTTTATTTCTGTGCTCAATTTCTTGTTTTGGTCGTTCAAGTCCTTCAAATAACATGCTTGAGCTTCATAAAAACCTCCACTACTCTGAATGCCCTGACTGTTGTTCTTACCATAGACTGCTTTTGGTATCAATCTGGTAGGATCTTTGTGTAACACTTTTGGTATTAATATAATCGGTTCTCTATGTACAAAACTTCCCTCGATCGTCGTAGTTTCTTCAGGATGTTTTTCCTTGGCCGCATCATATTTTGTTTGATCATAAAACTTTTTGTCCATTTACGATTTCTTTCCAATTTGATGAACAGTCTTTCAAGTCAACACCTTTTGATTATGCCATGATCATACAATGCAAGCAAAAGAAATAAGAAAAAATAGAATAGTTAGTACCAATTAATGGAAAAAAATCTATTTATCAAGGTATAAATCCTAACCTCATGCTTTCTAGTTCCATGCTTTGTTTGGAAAAATTAGCTTAACCGCATGATTTCTAGTTTGCATACATTTATTCAGAAAAAAGAAAAGGAAATAAAACCTAGAACTTATTTCTCCTTTGTGTATACCTACTGACAAAATTTCGGCATGGTTTCAGATCGGGAGAGTTTCTAGGTTTAATATATGCAGGGCTTCAGTTCTAGGAGTAAAGGTACTCGAACTGTCCTTGTTGATACCCCCTTGGGCTGTCAAACCCTCAATCCTAGTCCATCACAGACTTAAGCGGATCGAGTTCAATTCGAGGGGACACATTTCTTTATGCCTGACACGGAGAATAAATTCTCACGAAGACATAGAGCATATGAACCCCGAAAGCTACTTGCTAGGTCTGACACGGAGAATAAATTCTCACGAAGACGTCGCTTTCACTCCCACTTAAAAAGGGACAAGCTTGATTAGAAAGATTTATGTTATGCAATGCAAGTGTTGTGTGTGAGGAAAAATGTTCAAACCTCTAACAAACAATTAAATGAAAATTTTAATATTTGAAAATAAAGTAAAAATATAAAATATAAAAAATATTATGAAAATCATAAGTAATAAAAATTTTGAAAAAAAGAATTAAAAATTAAATAAATAAATTTTTAATTTCTAATTAATAGAGACAATTTATAATTAATTTCAAAGCATGACCAGGATCCCCAGCGGAGTCGCCAAGCTGTCGTAACCGATTTTCGTCCGGGCACGAAATTTTACTTGGCGGGAAAAGTAATATGAATAAATTAATGATTTTGATTTTAAAAAATATTTTGGGAGTCGCCATCGGCCTTTTGGGTCAGGTAGGTCGAATACCTAAAAAATCATCTTTTAAAAGAGTTTTTAAGAAAACATCATTTAAAAGATAAACTAGTCTGCGTTTTAACCAAAAATTTGTTCTTTTTAATAATAAAAAGGGATTCGTGGTCGGTTACGTTTAGGGAATGATTAGCACCCCTACAACGCCCAAAATTGGTACTTTTTAATTATAAATTGTCTCTAATAATAGAATTTAAGAATTCAAATATATTTAATTTATAATTCTGTTATCTCAAATTTATTACTATAATTTTAAAGAAAATCTATTAATTTATATATATTTATAAATAAAATATTTATTTATTTAGAAATATCAGAAAATGATTTCTAGGTACCTTAAGACAGCTCTTTTCTTTGATATTAATAAATATTATAATTAAATTATAAATTTTTTATCATAATATTTAATTTTAAAATACCAGAATATGACATCCAGTTGTATTAAGACTGCCATTTTCTTTGATATTGAAAAATAAATATATATTAAAATATAATAAATAATAATAATAATATTTAAATATAAACAAGTAAAATTAAAACATAAATAAACAATAATAAAATTAGAACTATATATTTAAAAGCAGTAAAACTTTATAATAAATGAAAATATTTCAAATTAGTGACTAAATTATAATCTAATAAAATTAAATACCTAATTTGTAATTAATTATTTAAAAATACAGGGATTAATCATGCTATTTTCCTTATTTATTAATCTGGTGACTAAAATAAAATTATATAAAATTCGAATATCAAATTAAAATAAATTAAAAATATATACTTTGGGATTAAAATATTAATTATTAAAATTAATGGACTAAATACGTATTTTATCTAAAATATTTAATATTACGGTTAATGGCTAAAATATAAATAAATAAAATGTAGAAACCAAATTAAAAGGATCAAAAATTTGATTCAGTGACTAAAATGTAAAACATATAAGATAGAGGGACTACGGACGGGGTTTAACAATTAAAAATTACACAAATAGCCCTTCCTAAAACGACGTCGTTCGGGAAGGGCTATTTAAAGCCAGAAACGGCTGGCCCTTCGGGCCAGCTCTCTCATTTCTCCCTTTATCATTCTCTCTCTAACTGAGAGAGAATGAAAAACGCTCTCCCTTCTCTTAGCTTCCCTCATCGGAGGGAAGCCGGTCACTGGGCGGCAGCCGTCTGCCGCCGTAATTCCCACCGCCGGCCACCGCATCCGGTGGCTGAAAAAATTTATTTTTACACCACAATGTAGATCGGACCGTCCTAATGACGGTTCCGGTGTTCCTTTATTTTAAATAGCTCTCGATCGGAGCAAATCTAAGAAAATACCTTCGGTTTTCGAAGGTTTTTGGTGACGTTTGGAAGCCGGTGGTGACTCCGATCAAGGCTTTGTCTTCCATGGTAAGTTTCTCTCGTTCCTTTCCTTGTTGTTTTAGTGATTTGCTTTCTGTCCTTTTTTTTTTGTTCTCTGTTTTTGTTGGTTGTCGTGGGTTTTTCTTTGCAGGTTGGGTGATGGCTTTATAGCCATCACCGGCGCTTGTCTCGGACCGGTCCTAAGGGTGGAGTTCGGTGAGTCACCGAGCTATGTGGTGACTCACCCCATAGAGCTTGCGACGTGGGCGGCGGGTGTTGAAGCAGCAAAGCTTCTGGAGTCTTCAGCGAGGCGGCGACGTCGTGGCTGAAGTGGGTTCGAGCATCTGGCAACTGACCGTCGGCAACGGTCTCTGACAGCTGGAGAGGCGGCTGCGACGCTAGGGTTAGAAACCCTAACTGAAACCCTAAATGTTTAGGGTTTCATTTTGGTCTGGGCCGATTGATTGGGCCTTCGATTTTGGGCTTGTAATTTTTATTATTATTATTATTATTATTATATATAATAATAATAATATATAATAATAATAATAATTATTATAATAATAATAATAAATAAATAAATAAAAATGGATAAAAAAGTTAGTATCTTCAGATGGCATCATTGAAAACAGTATCCATAGCTTGAACTTGAAGCAAGTTGTCTGCAGGCTCATATAGAGATGCAAACGTCCATAACAGTTGAGCAAGCTCTTGTTCACGAAAAGTGTGAATTATGGCCGATGCCCTTTTTCCAACTCTTAGAACAAATCCGGGGCTTAATGCCGCATTATAGCGAATGCACCAGCAATATTAGCGACATTCTGAGAGTTGAACTCCTTAACTTTGGTCAAAGCCACCTCTGCAACTCGATCCATTTCGGACAAAAACAATAACTCCCCTCCAATTTTCGACAATGCCCATGAAATGTTCGAAACACCTTGAGCCGAGCAGAACAAATGATTTTTGACTAGAGTTCACTACCAATCGATAGCTGGAGATGAGGGTACTCAAGCTTTAAACATTGGTTCACCAGATGAACCTGTGAAGCAAACATAACATCTACTCTATACTGTTCTAAAACCCGTTGCTCCTCGAAACGGCTCAATGTTTCCCATGTATGAGAAAAGAACGTTCGATCCAGCTCTCCGAAAACCGCATAGGACCAAGCTATATTCCCAAACTGATACCAGCTTAAGGTGAGCACAGGAGGATCAGAAACTCCTCCAAATTCAATATCTCTACTGTTTTCTGCACCGGTTTCTTCATTGGTTTCATTAATTAAGCAGCATTTAAATTGGTTGGCATCATTGAAAACAGTATCCATAGCTTGAAGCAAGTTGTCTGCAGGCTCGTATAGAGATGCAAACGTCCATAACAGTTAAGCAAGCTCTTGTTCACGAAAAGTGTGAATTATGGCCGATGCCCTCTTTGCCAACTCTTTGAACAAATCCGGGGCTGAATGCCGCATTGTAGCGAATGCACCAACAATATTAGCGACATTCTGAGAGTTGAACTCCTTAACTTTGGTCAAAGCCACCTCTGCAACTCAATCCATTTCGGACAAAAACAATAACTCCCCTCCAATTTTCGACAATGCCCATGAAATGTTCGAAACACCTTGAGCCGAGCATTCTGGGAGAGCTGTCATCGCGATACCAATCAGCATCGGCATTTCTCTTTGTCGAGCAAATGCCAACCTGAGAGTACTCGGCATCGATACTTTCTCCATGTTCTTAGCAATCCTATGAAGTGCAGTGGCAATATTCAATGGAGAAAGCGGTGAAGGGCTTAAACCTTTCCCAACAGCCATTATCATCTCAGATGTAATCTCCAACACTTCTGCAGTTTGCGATTGAACTAGATCTTTGTTCAAAGTAACTTCTTTTCTACGATCGGACAGGCCCGAAAATTGAGCTAATTTCTGAACAAGCTCTTCCATTGCCTTCTCCTTCTTCTCTAAAAACATCCCATCTGCCATTGAACTCACCATATCTCGAAGTTGACTTGCATTATCATCAATCTGGTCATCGAACCTCTCATCGTCACTGTCTTCTCCAAAATCAAAATCCTCTTCTATCTCCTTGATTTCTTTACTAATCACATCTTTTTTCGCGATTCTCTTCTTCTTCTTTTTTATCGAATCCTCGACTTTATGTGTCAACCCCTTAGATTCAATAGATTTGAGTGCCATTTCCTAGCCTTCAAACACCAATCTATCCCTTCATTATCATCAAGAACCCTAGATTTCTCTTGTTTTTTCCTCTTTTTGGACGGGCGCTTGATAACCAAATGGGTCAATCTCCCCTATGAACTCCAATTCCCAATCTTCCGTTCCATCATCATTAACACCTTTCCCAGTACTAACACTCGAATTTTTACCCAGACTTGCAAAGTTTCTTCTTGGAAACTCAAGCCCACCTCTTAATTTCACTAATGGGATGTTAATAAATAATAACTTGCTTTGGCATGAAAATTTAGGGTTTTAAGTAAGTTTGTGTACGGAATGGATTCATCAAAAACTCAATGGAACTTTTTTTTCTCGGTTTATCACGGATTAATGATTGAAAACACCAAACAAGAATTATAATAGCTACTAAAAAAACACTAGAATGCCATCAAATATCAGTGTTCATGAAGAGAAACGAACACTCAAAAGCCCAGAATTCGTAAGAAAAAAAAATGAAACTTTCCCATTACCGTAAGCTCTCTGCTTTCGCTGAAAATTGAGAGACAGTTAACAAAGGATATTGCTTTATGATTTTCTTCCCCGGGGGGTTCTTTTTTGACCAATTTGTGGATAAGATACAGAGTAAACTATAGGTTTAATATCTAAACTATTATTTTGTTATGTTTTGATATTTAAATTTTATTTTTTAAAATTATATTTAATATTTAGTTTATATTTTTTATTTAGTCATATACTGTTAAAAAATTAATAGAATTATTGATTTTGTATTTTTAATTTTTTTCAATGACGATGTAGTATTATCTTATGGTGACACATCAACATCACCCGTTAAATTTTTAATGACTTAATATCAAAATGAAGCCTAAACTAAACGTTAGATATAAATTTTGAAAAAAAATCTGGATACCAAAATGAAATAAAAATAATAGTTTAGATACTAAACATTTAGTTTACCCTCAGATATACGAGTGAGTGTGAATTGCAAAATAGGGCAATCTAACACAGCTTTTGCCTATATAAAATATATCAACTTAAACTATAATAAAAATATAAAAATATTTTTAAAAAACTCATTAATATATTAATATTTTTTAACATTTAGATATAAAATTAATATGAAATAATAATTTAAATACTTATTTTGACAAAAAGTGTAACCCATTAGATCCGACCTATGGATTACTACCAGATTTAACATATTACGATAATTTTTTTCAAAACATTCTTCAATAGTTTAAAACCATATTATGAATAAACATCTTTAAAAATATAGTTGATAACATTAAAGTTTAATTCCATCAATTAAAGTTGTAAGAAATGAATAAAACATTTTTCAGATATTAGCCAGTGGTAGCAGGAAATTAGAGTTCAAACATATATATACTTATCAGTAAAAACAATAACTAGAGAACATGAGTCAAGCAAGTATAATTTAAAATACAGTAAATCAAGAATCATACTTAAATCAGATAAATCATATAGTAGTTAAATCAGAGCAAACAATTCATTTCAAATCAGAGAAAATAATCATGTGTACATGGCATTTCAAACAGATATCAATTCAATAAAAGAGTAACTGGAGAACATGAATCAGACAAGCAGACTTAAAACTTCATTAAATAAGAAATCAGGCTTGAAACATATAAATCATGCGAAATTAAATCAGATCAGCTACCATATTACAAATCAGGTAAAATAGTCATGTGCCCATGATATTTCAAACAAGTATTTAAAACAAGTACATATATATAGCACACAAGGAACACATCTCACAAAAAGAATCAGTATGGTAGATCTATTGAGCACTAACTTCACTACGTTCTTCGACTATACAAGAACCTAAGTCATATCAGAACAAAATTATTATCGGAGTAGTACACGAAACTGAGTATTTAACAGGGTTGCAAAATTATACGAGTAATCACATGCTCTCATAGACAAACTGATTGGGCGGAACCGGGCTGAGCAGACGAACGATCGGGAGAATCATGGGTACCTTAATTAAATGACATAATAATTTAGTCATTGACCCTCAAATTAGATGCACTTAATTAAATCACTTAAATAAATACTTAAATTACATATGCATATTTAAGTTTAACGGGCCAATTCGGAGGTTTTCGTGTTTGAATTTGGTAAAATGAACTTCTGATTTTGACTCAGGATGTCAAAAAACATAAAATATGACTTTTCAAAAAAAATTGACTTTTTAGTCAAAGTCAATGGTTAAAATGGTCAAAGTCAACATGTCAGGTTGACTTAGGATGGGTCAAACAAACCTGGTTCAGACTGGGTTGGGCCCGTTCGGTCTACCTGGACCATTTCTAGAAGGCCCATTATTGGAGGAAGAGGCTCATACTGTCGGTGCGTGGCGGCGTGTGAGACGACAAAAATGAGTCGGGTCAGTCGGTCGAGTACTCCGGGTGCAACTTAGTCTTCAAACAACTCAAACATAACCAATAATCAAGCAAAACCGAGAGAAAATTAACCAAAAATTAAATCTGAGCTTACCCACACCGACAACAAAGAAAACGGCGACAAAGTTACAACCCAAGGGTTGGGTTTCGAGCTGACGACGATGAGGAATCCAACCGCGCCAACAGTGAGACAAACAAACAATGATGGATATCGGAAATCTCAATTAATCGAGGTGACAGGGCTTTTCGATGAAACTTTAAACGCCCATCCACAACGAACGATGAACATTTAGCGTCAGTGGTTGGTTGGGGTTGCTTCGCAGTGAACTGACGCTTCGATTGAAGGTAGTGATGACCTACATCACCGGCCGAAGTAGGGAGTGACGATGAGGGCGATGAACGGGTTTCCCCCTCGTTTTGTGACAATCGGTGACCAATTGGGTGAGTTGAGGGTCAGGGTTGAGTCGTTGAAGGACGATGGTTCTGATGATGGCCACAGGGCACAATAACAGTTGTTGGAGCGTGATGGATCAATGGGAGAAATCTTAAAGATCGAGGGTTTGATTTTGGGTTTGACGAATGGGGGGTATCTGATTTTGTTTTTAGGTATATCCCGAGCCAAAATAAATAATACATATTTTTATTAAATAAAAATACTAACCAAAGTCTAGCCTAGGGGCTAGAGAATGGGCAGCCATGACCCTAGGGTTACGGGTTTAAGCCTTCCAACCACAATTTTATTTTATTTTTGTGTCAGATGATTTTTTTGGTTATAGGAAAATTATGGGGCTAGTCCCTGAAACATATTTGGTTTATATTTTAACCTAAAATCATTAATAAAAATTCAATTTAACTCGTTTAATTAATTTAATGAATTTCTAATATTTTTACCCAAAATTTTGGGGTGTGACAAAATGAATATTTAAAAAACATTCGTAATTAAAATAAATTATTAAGTAATAAATTACTTTTAAGGATGTTAGTATTAAATTATTAAAATAAAATGTAAATACATAATTGAGTGGAATACATGTATTTGTAAGGGTAAAATTATAATTTGCTTCCAAACTCAAAGTTGAAACTGAAAAGTTAGAAATTCTCCTTGTTTGGTGTGACTTTTTAAAAGCACTCTTAGGATTAAAAAAAAACTCGTTTTGACCACAAAATCAATGCTAAAGGGTAAAAATGAAAAAAAAATGGTCGAAACAATGGTTTCAAACCAACCGCAAAAGCTAAGATTTCTATTTTTTTTCAATTTCAACTTTGCGTTTAGAAACAAATTAAAATTTTACCCTTAGTAATGTATGGGCTACACTTAATTATGTATTTATATTTTATTTAATAATTTAATACTAATATCCTTAAAATAAATTTATTACTTAATAGTTTATTTTAATTACTATTGTTTTTTTTAATATTCTTTTTGTCAAAATAAGTATTTAAATTATTATTTTATAATTATTTTATGTCCACGTGTTAAAAAGTATTGATAATATATTTTTCTTAATAAAATGTTTCATATATAAAAATATTATTAATGAGTTATCTTAAAATGTTTTTATATTTTTATTATAGTTTAAGTTGATATATTTTATATATCATAGTATTAATAAGTGTAAATATAATTTAAATACTATATTTTTAATTTACAACATAACGCTTATAATATATATTTTATCTTTTTAAACTCATTTTTAATAAAAATCTCAAACAATTAAATTTTAAACTGTATTTTTATACAACACTTTTAAAGTTAGTTTTATAACACTTTTAAAAGTTGCATTAAGCTGAGCTTAACTAATTGTTATTTGTTGCTATTACAACATATGAGAATAAGAGTTTGAATGTTCTTAAGTTTACATTAGCCTCTTATTTATGGACAAAAAAGAATTTAGATAATTTATGATTTTATAAAAAGGTATAAACTTTTTAGTTAGGGATAAAATATTTTAGTTTAATACGGATGTTCACAGATGAATTTTGTAACATTCTCAATACCGGGTTACTGACTAAATTGTAAAATTTCAGAATCTGGTGATTTAAAGTGGAATAGTTGAATAGTTCAATGATTTATTTCGAAATATTTCCTGAAAATTGTTAGTAATTATCAAAGAAATTAAAGGGCAAAATGGTCATTTGACAAGAAATATATTTTTCCTCTTGATAAGAATAAATCATGTGGGGGAGTTATCTGGAAAACTCTCTTCTTCTTCTTGCTTTCTTCTTCCTCAGACGTGAGGTACCAAAGCCAAATGTGAGTTTCTTTGTTAGCTTATTATTTGTTGATTTTAAGAGTGGGTTTTGATCCTTAGGTGATACTTAAGCTTAAAGAAAGCTTAAGTTGTCATAAAATCAAAAGATGAAAAAGTTATGAAAGATTAAAGATAATTGGGTTTTAAGTGAATTTCTAGAAAAGAGTTGATAAGTTGAATTTGAAACTAAATTTGACTTGTCATCAACTTAATTAAGAGATATGAAGTGATAGAATTGGATTTAGAGCATCTTGAAAATTTGGTATGATTATTGATTTTCATATGAAAGATGGAATTTTGAGGTTAAGGATGTATTGAATAAGTAGAAATTAGTTTAAGTATATGTACTTGAGTTAAGAATAGAAAAGAGAATGAAACATGAAGAATTTAAGTTGAAAAGGATGAATTTCCGGGCTTAAAATACAATTCTGGGCTAGTGTGCATCGATACACATTCAACATGTACCGATGCATCAAGGATAAATTTCCAGAAATTATTCAGTGTGTATCGATGCACAGGAAGTGTATCGATACACCCCTTAAAATGAAAACATCGAATGCTATGAGTGCATCGATACACTATAGTGTGT